GCTTTGAGTATATTATTGATACACTTAGTGTTTCACCGGTGGCTATAAAATTTATGATGAATAAAAATATGATAAGTGAGTCAGCAAGCCATTTCAAAACGTCTCAAGGCCCTGGGCCTAAAAAGAAAAGCGGCCACAATATCAAGAGCGACATGACAATGTCATCCTCCAACACGACAATGATCGGCCTCACGTCGCAAAAGTGGTCAAAAAGTACCTGGAAACGCTGAAATGGGAAGTCTTGCCCCACCCGCCGTATTCCCCAGATGTCGCCCCTTCTGACTTCCACCTATTCCGTTCGATGGCACACGGCGTGGCAGATCAACATTTTCAATCCTTCGAAGAATTGGAAAAATGGATTGCTTCATGGATAGCGTCAAAAGAGGATTCCTTTTTTCGAGCCGGGATCCGAAAATTGCCGGAAAGATGGCAGAAAGTTGTCTCTAGCGAAGGACAATACTTTGAATAATGTATCTGTAAGCACTTTTTCGCTATAAAGCTTTTAATTTTGAAAAAAAAAACGGCGGAAGCAAAGTTGTACACCTGATGTATATAATAATTGCATCATATATATACACATTGGGTTTGCATATTTCATTTTTTATATATTATTTCGCCGCGCGTATAGTTTTTTTAGCGTTTTTTTCTATCGCTTCGCCATATGAGCTTCGTACACCATTGTCAATCCCGTCAATATGGGAATGCTAAAGCTAATGCACATGCTAACATCATGACACATTTAAAGCCACATTCCAGTTGAAAATTAATATATATGTACTCGTATGTATGTGTAGAATTGAATAGACTAGTAAGCAGCTGCGTTCATAGCGCCTGTGGATATGCAATACTTTTAGTTGTATACACGTATATGCATTGAATGCTATATACTACCAGATATATGTATGCACTTGTAGCTATATGTAAGTATTGCTGACCATTTTCTAGGTTAAATTATATAACGTTATGTAGCATTATATACTCTAATGTGCATGTATGTATGTGTGTACATGAGTTTTTGTGCATATGTTATGCATTTATAGCAATTTCAGCCATTGTTCGAGGAGAAGAGTTTTTTTGTTTGAAAAAAAAAAGAACAAGAAAAAACAAATAAAATAAAAAAAAAACAAATTAAAAAAGTGAGAGATTCATTAAAATCTAACAAATCAAATATATTTTTATTATAAATACCAACGTTGAAATAATCCAAATACATATGTATTCACATAGGTGTATGTGTGTATATACTGCAGAGTGGGTAAAAATACGAAAACGACAGTCCATATTTTTCGCATATTAATATAATGCGGATTGTTATTTTTTTAGAATTATATTTTAAGTAGGTTCTTGTCAATTGAAAATCCTTTCCTTTTGCTAAAAAAAAAATTCAGTACCTTATATTGCCCTTTAAACAAATCTAGATCCACAAAGGGCAAAATTCGTAATGAAGTTAGTTCGTACTTATTCTCTAAGAGGAGAGTTCAAGCGAGAGACAAATCGAGCGACCTTGCACTGAGTAATGAACCATTAAAATATATTATATTGAAAGTAAAAATTTCCTTCGGTTTTTTATTAATTTTTCAAAATTTCATAACTTGGTGTACATTTGTCCGATTTAAGTCAAATATGCGCCGTTTTTTGCATAAACCTGTTGCCAACGCGATGCCAACTTCATTTTACCCCTCTCGTAGAAGGTTGCGTCCCTATTGGCATAAAACTCAGAGAGCCAATTTTCACAGGCCTCTCTTGAGGCCAACTTCTCACCGCTAAGCGCGTTCGCCATGAACAGGAAAAAATGGTAATCAGTTGGCACCAGATCTGGACTATAAGGCAGGTGCATTAGAGCCTCCCATCCGAGTTTCTTGAGCTTATGGCGCGTCACCAAAGCCATGTGTGGCCTGGCGTTGTCCTGATCGAACACAGTTCGGCCTCTGTTGTTCAAAGATGACCACTTCTGGTTGAGTGCTGCCTTCAAGCGGTCCAGTTGTTGGCCGTAGAGAGCCAAATTGAGTGGAAAAAGCAAAAAAGACCACCTATACACCGTGTTTCAAGTAAATCGAACCATAAATAAGTTTTTTTCAAAGGTTTTTTTGGTATAAACCTTTCTAGGAACCATAGACACAATCTAACCAATGTTCAAGGAATGAAAGATTTTTACATATCATATTAGGTGTAGTAAAAAGAAATCCATTATTGTATAAGTTTTTCTTTGATAAGGACCAAAACGCAAGCCACACGGCTGAAATTGTCAATAGAGTTTATGGTCCTGGTACTTATGGTTTCATTTTGGCTTTATGCCTCACAGGCTTTCCTCAAGGCCTATCCTTCAGCAGCCATATCATTAGCATTAGACACGAACAGATAGTAATCACTTTTTGTGGGTTCCGCGCTGCAAGGTGTATACATATGAACTTCCCAACCATGTTCTTGGAGCTTCTGGCGAGCCACTATCATTTTCTTTGTGGACTGGCTTTGTCCTGACAAAACACACTTTCCTTCATGCTGACCAAAGTTAAGCACTTTTGGTCGATTGTTTCCTTCAGACGGTCCAAATGCTGACAGTACAGATCCGAAGTGAGAGTTTGCCAATCCAAATTTCTTTGCTGGTGCCGATCTCTGACAGGCGCTCAAACACTACTGAGTTGAGTAATCAATACTACATACATCGAAAGTTAGACCAATCTCACACTATTGTGTCACTGTTGAGTGGCCGGCACACGATAAAATTACCTTCCGGAGCAATTTAAAGCGGGAGTTTAACGAAATAGTTTAATGGGGATAGAAGCCCAACCCTGATAACGAGAGCACGCCGTCAACTCCTTTGAAAGCACTGCTAACTATTTTTTTCAACTTCCTTCCTCTGGACCTATGCGGAACCTACAAAGGGTATGCAACGCAATCCGATTGAAGGCAACTCAACCTTAGAAGTACCAAAGGAGCTGGACTATACCAGTATGGGCATCAACAATCTTTTCTCTCTCAACAGACATGAGTGGGAAACCACCAACGCCCTCGATCAGGGAGCCATAGCCATTTTCGCAGATGCCTGACAGCTCCATGGAAAAATGGTTTGCGGAATCTATAATCCCAGACCACTGCAGCGTTTACCAAGCGGAACGCTTTGCACTCATGGAAGCCGTCGAGTGGTTGTTCAAAACCGTGGTAGAAGGGTAATCGACAGTTAAGCTGCCATCAGATCTTTGTAATGTAACGGAACCACGTCGAAAGTGGCTATAAAAAATAAAACAATCTTAACAAACTCTCAATTAAATTTAGTACTACCGTGGTCTCGGCACCTGCACTCAGTGACGTCTCAGGTAAATGCATGGCAGACGAACTAGCGAGCTATGGAACCCTTCTACAATCGATAAAACATGCTCACGATACTGGTTCACCTCTGTACACGGCAAAATACATGCTTAGGCTGACCGTTTGCCATGGAAGCAGACTCAAGACGTGTTATGTGACCAAGCAGCTGTTGTCGAAGTTGGTCGCATAAAAATCTAAACTTCTTATTCTTCTAAACCGATTCTCCATTAACGTAACAACAGGCATATTAACGGACCTGTAGGGATGCAGAAAGGAAGGTTTATCAAGCACTAACTTTTGTTACTGCACAGCCCTGGCATCTGCGTGACACAAATTCCTCGGAAAACACTTCTTCGTCTATCTCGCTGAGTACGCCCCAGCGGGAATTGATAATCTAGTTGCCTTTATAAGACACACAAAATGTTGCGGTAATTTGAGAAGGTGAAGACTGGAGCCTCACAGTGGTGTCAGAAGGGATCTAAGTGCGCTAGTAATGACCAGCAACCGCATTAACTCAACTCAACTCTTTACTCATTTCCTGCCTGGTCAGCCTGAAGCCTAAGTAAGAATTCTGTAATTCTAGGCATGTTCATTGCTCTGTTGAGCTGCCGTCATTTTGTTGGCAAAGATTTCTGCTTAGAATATGCCGCAGTGGTTTCACAGTCAGAAAGATCTTCCTAACTCCGGCTGTGCACACTTCACGGCTGCTCTTTTAAAAAGATATGCAGAACTTTGTTTGTCCACTTGGGTCTGTTGCTTCAATCGACTGGCTCTGTTGTAGCTTTTCTTTAGAATAACCCTATAATACAGTGACCGTGTCCTTATTCTCAGTGAAGAGCTATGAATGCCATGATTTTAGCCACCAGCTTCAACAGTGATACATTCAAAATCATTTGATGGACTGGAGATTAATTGATTTCAGTGCGCTTTCGTGCCTTCCAAGAAATGTTGTTATCCACCTACTAAAGCTCAAAAGAGATGTGTTCGCTGAGCAATCGCAATGAAATTAAAATAGGAAAGTGTTGGTGAAAGACCCCAGATGTAAGCCCTAAATCTTTTTCTTGAATATATACTTGTTGAAAGCTTCTTATCTCACCTTCTTTATATTCCCTAGTGCTTAGTACTAAGCTTTCACTATCAGGTAGTCTCTTACAGCTTTAGTTTCATCTAAATTGGAACTTTGTATATCCTTTGGGTGTCTTTCAAGAAATAGATTCACCTTATCGGTATTAACTCTAAGTCGCACTTAGTAAACCCAGTTATTTCTTGTACTGAGTTGTGCCTGATCCGACAGAGAATCGGGGGCTTCTAAGCACTTACTTAAATATCTGTTCTTATAATTCAACCTTCAGCTTCATGAGCCATTCACTGAGCACGAGTGCCACAAGAAGAGTTGATTATATACCCCCATATGGTGTGCTGCCCATCTCGCGCTTGACTTGTCCTATGATACTTGGCAAGGCATGTATGCAGTTTGGAAGAAAGTGGTTGGTTTTAATCGATCCATAAGCAAGGCTTCTCTAAAAACAATTGTTTAACGCTCCAGATATATCGAAGAAGATGTCTACAGCACATTCGCCATTTTTAAACGTCTATTTCAGTATTTTATTAATATTTATAAAAGCTCTTATCTTGGTTATAAATTTGTTAGAAAAATTAATTTAATAAATTTATTAATTTTTTTTTCTTTACAGTCTAATTATAAACGGCAGAAAAACACATATCAAACGTGAGCATAAATCTCAAGGAAAAAAATAAAATAATTTGAAAAAAAAACCTGAAAATTAAATAAAGAAACTTATAAAATAACTCAGAGATTTAATAGCAAATTTTCCAGTGTTTTTTGTGCTGAAATCTTGCCAAAACATGGCTAAAAATAGGGTGCTAAATTCGTTAAAATCAAAATCCGCGCAACAGTTCAAGGTCTACAGTATGGCCAGTAGATGCGCGTAAATTTCCACAACGACAAATAAAGCAGTGAAGCGAAGGTGCAGAAAAAAAATTTAAATGAATCTTAAAAGAGCATTTTGAGAAGATTAAACGCGGCAAAAACAAATTTAATTAATCTTGAGAAAGAATTAAAAGAAAAACGAAATATTAAAGAAGTTAAAGAAACAAAATTTAAAATAAAACTGAATTAAAAACTTTAAAAATTGAAAGAATTTCAAAAATCAAGGCAAGAAAATACTTAAAAAATTTAAAAAAAAATGAAATATAAATAAATTAAAAAAAAAATAATGAAAAATTAAAATCAAAATAATTAAAGAAAAAATATCAAATAAATATTAAAAAAAAGAAATAAAATAAACTTTCAAAGAAATTAATAAATAAATAAAAAACTGAAAAGTAGAAAAATAAAAATTAAAGAAAAAAAAATTAAATAAAAAAAAATTATATGAAAATAAAATAAAATTTAATTAAAATAAAATTAAACAAAAATAAAATTAAATAAAAAAAATTATATGAAAATAAAATAAAATTTAAATAAAATAAAATTAAATAAAAATAAAATTAAATAAAAAAAAATTATATGAAACTAAAATAAATATTAATAAAAATAAAATTAAATAAAAATAAAATTAAATTAAAAAAAATTATATGAAAATAAAATAAAATTTAATTAAAATAAAATTAAATAAAAATAAAATTAAATAAAAAAATTATATGAAAAGAAAATAAAATTTAATTAAAATAAAATTAAATAAAAATAAAATTAAATAAAAAAAATTTTATGAAAATAAAATAAAATTTAATTAAAATAAAATTAAATTTCAAAAATTTTATGAAAATAAAATAAAAATTAAAGAATATAAAATTAAATAAATTTAAAATTAAATTAAAAAAAAATTATATGAAAATAAAATAAAATTTAATTAAAATAAAATTTAAATTAAATAAAATGAAATAAAAATAAAATTAAATAAAAAAATAAAAAGAAAATAAAATAAAAATTAAAGAATATAAAACTAAATAAAAATAAAATAAAATTAAAAAAAAATTATATGAAATTAAAATAAAATTTATAAAAAAAAGGAGAAAAAATAAATAAAAAAATAAAAATAAAATATAACGAAATTAATTGAAAATTTATATCAAAAGTAAAATTTATTTAAAATAAAAATAAAACAAATATTAAAATATATCAAATGATTAAAAATGAACTAAAAGATTTAAAAAAAATTTAAAATTAAATACAAGTCAAAATAAGGATAAAAAATAAAAAAAAAAAATTCTGAAAAAAATTTAAATTAAATTAAATTTAAATAAAAAATTTAAAAAAAACAATATAAATTGAAGAGCTAAAAATAAAATAACTCAAACATACATATCTACAATTAATAATTCACCTTGAGAACGCATTGCGGCATTTATTTAAAACCGCACAAGTGCAAAAAAAAAACAGCAACAATTACAACAACAACACCACCACCCGCTGTGCAACTAAATACGAACATTTCACGGTTCACTCGCGCCGATTTCTCGTCACTTTGCCTTTATTCGTTTATGTGAATGTTCGGACTTTGGTGTTGAATGCTCAAAGCACGCACACACACACACACACGCGTACACGCACACAGGCACGCACGCACTTCGCTTAACGTATACGCAACGGTGAACGGGTAATTTGTGAGAAATTGTGAGACACGCACTGTGTGCCAGAGTTGCCAGACAAAAGGTAGATAATAACAAAAGAGTAGAGAAGAATGAAAGCAATAAAATAAACAGAGCAAAAAGCCAATAAAAATACAATAAAAATACACAATAAAGTGAATAAAAGGGAGAAGACGAACAACAACAACAGCAGCAATACAACAACCAAATAGTGAAAGCGATTTTCAGTGTGCTCGTACATACATACTTACATACATATGTGTGTGTGTTTTTAATACAACAAACAAGTGTTAAAACAACAACAATAAAAACAACAACAAGAATAAAGGAAATCGCATATAATACAAGGCATTCAAGCATAAATTGAAAGCGAAAACACCAGCAAAAAAAATATCAAACAAAAAACAACAACAATAGCTGACTGCAAATCATCATTATCGTCATCATCACGCCAGCACTTACACGCTTCGTCTGCAAAAAACAATAAAATACACATTGTAAATGCACAAAACCATGCATACAACTATTAACAAACAAACAAAAAAATAAAACAAAAAAAAAAAACAATAACAATAACAGCAACAATTAAAGGCCGTAAATAAAGCGTCAAAAGCAATTTGCTAAAACTAACGGGGGAAACAGCGTAACGCGCCAAATTCAAAATATAAAATAAAAATAAAAAAAATTACATACATATATACATATATACAATGTGAAATTGCCAAAGTGTGCATACATAATATTAATACAGCATAAACATTTAAATTATTAAAAAAAAAAATACTAAAATAAAAAAAATCACACGCATACATACATTCATATAAGCGCCGCGCGTGTCACACGACACCAAACAACAACAGCAACAACAACACAATGGAACGCAAACATATTGGCGCTTTGGCGTTGGTTTTGTTTGTTTTGTTATTCAAAGTGAATATTTTCACCGTGATTGCCGATCAGGATGAGGATATACCACATAATGAGTAAGTTTGTAAATTTTTTTGCGATAATTATTATGCATACAAAATGATTAACTTATATTATAGGCTGGCTATGATTTTGGAACAAATTCAAATATGTAATGAAATTCTGTAGGGTTAGGAAGTTAGGTTTGGTTAAAATAGTTGCTGGGAATCCCTATAACTCGTCTCCGTTGGTGAAATCGATAAGTGTGGCTGGAAAAATTGAGCTTTCGCTATGTCACTCAAGTCTCTTAGGCCTGTAGTTCCTTTAGACTACAGACGGCTCATCCAAAGAGCGTGTTATGCGGCAAGGAATTGACTCTAGCTCTCCTCAAGGACACCTACAGAGTTTGTTTGCGAGTAAGCCCAGTCAATTTTTTAAATTTTTTTCCATTAGAAGAGTTGCTGTAAGAGACTTTTAATTATACATTTTTCCTTCTTTTCAATCGTGAAAAGAGCGCGCCACACTTTTTCTTCCATCTTGATCACTTTATCTGGGTCACATTGCAACACTTGAGATTCTTTCCTCTTCTAACCACCTCTTCCTTCAGTTTGTTCTATGCGTCTTGATGTTTTTTTTTCCAAGAAACAGAGCCACATACAGCGGCTTCTGAACGGCTGCGGGGCTTTTAATTTTTTTTCATTTAAGAAATGCTCTTGGAGAGATTGGCATTCCCTATCGAGGTCCAAGTAAAATTAGAAAGATTGACTTGATTTTTTCTCTCGGGTGTACACAATATTTTGATCCGATTTTGCAATCAAAAGAGTATTTCTTTTAAAGAACAATGTAAGAAACTCATCATTTACAGTCTTTTTCGTCGGAGGAGACTACCTTTACCATTCCTTAAATGAGCCCTCTCTATACTCGATCCAATCATTGATCAAGTCTTCCACCGGTGACCAGTTTAGCAGCTGTTGGAAAAGCCATCAGTCGGAAGTCGAAGGGGCTGCATTGTCATGGGGAACAACGCCCCGTTACGGTGGCACAGATTCACCATGAACATCCACAAATATTCAACAGACTTCAACTGCACTTTTGGTTCTGAATAAAATATAAAATTAAATCTTCTCGCAAATTTTGCTTACTTAAAAGAGTTCCGGCTATCTTCCAATAAAAAAAACGTTATTTTTAAAGTTGACAGTTGTGGCGCCACAACTTGCGAGTGGAAAGCAGACCCTCAATATATTAATAAATTTCCTTTGACTTTTTTGTTGTTTGGATTTGGACTGCTACTCCTGACCTTCCGCTTGTTATTGAGCTCTTCTAATCCCCCAGCTGAAGCGATCGCCTTAAGTTAATATCTTGTATTATGACCTTTTAAGCTTCATAACCGCTGAAGCTCCTTTAATTTGTGGGTTTTTTTCTCTAAAGGAATTAAGAACTCTTCTTAGTCCACCTCCAGACGTCTAATGGACTTGTGTAGGGGGCTTTAGTTTTCACATCAGAAAAATACGCGGAGGTTAACATTCAAAGCGACCGCAATGAGAATTTCATTCCTTTGATTTTATGTGTTGGACAGACCTGGGATCGGAGCTGGGTTTACACCCTTGACCCTCTGCATAGTAATAGCACCAACATTTGGCCACTACCGCTGCGACGAACAGTTTCCTCGTAAAGACATTGTTGATCTCGAGCGATCGCTCAGTGCCCATCCTGGCCTTCCCTCTGAGGAAATGTTAATTAAATTTTTGCTCATAGCGAGCTTCTTTCAGTTATTTGTAGTTCCCCCGCATGCTGTTGCTGTATTGTGTTACTGTTTTTGTTTTTTGTAAGTTCAAAAATGTTTCCGAAATCGCTTTCGGGGAATATTGCGAGAGTGACAAACCTTGGTCCGAATATAGTTTGGATTGTATCGGTATAAAGAGCCGACTGTCACGGGAGCTATTGGATTTTAGCCACCTCTTACGACGGATATATCGATGGCTTAATTCTTGTACTTCTAACCCACAAAAGTTGGCTCCAGATAGAAACCTTTGGTTGAGAATAATAGCAACAACGGCTCGATTACGTTTTATACGGACCTGTGAAAACTAGTTAAGAGGGTCGGATGTGGAGTTTACTCAAATGAAGTTTTCTTTGAACCTGGTATGTGTGCCTGGACATAGCAATATACCGGGTAAGGAGGTGGTTGCCAGCTGGCAAGTAAGAGCACTTCCCTTCCACTTTCACCATCGTGGAAGAGTTCGGGCCCGCCAATCTCCACTTCTAAACTCAATATAAGAGACTTATTCATTAAGGATGCGAACTCAAGATGGAGCAGTCTCAATGTGTGTAATGTGACAAGAACAATATGGGCAGAGTAGAACGGAAGAAGTTCACGTGACTTGCTACAGCTACAGTTATACACTTTGTAGTAGTAGACTGAAGTCTCTAGGTCCGACAGTCTTTGGAGACTTGAACGACAGGCCAGGTGCTAAGATACGGCGACTGCTCAGCTTTGCAAACTCCACACATTGATTTGATTTACGGACGGGGGTCATCCTCCGGGGTATCACAATGGGCTTGCTTGAGCCCTAGCTGAGCTGACGCCCGGCAGGTACTTCAGCCAACTCCCAAAGGTCTACTGATACTACTTACCCCATTGCTTTCTCTCCGAAATCTCCACCTTAAAGTCTCTTCCAAAGTCGGTGAAGGATTTCAACCGCAACATTGTTAGCTCCACCTTTGTAGCAAATGTGTTTGGCTCCTTAATTGGAAGCGCTCGTTTCTTCAAAATTTAACTGACCCCACCGCCGACGAGGGCAGTAGAATTTGCAGTCAGGTCACGAGTACTGGATTTCAGTATACTGTCTAACAGAAGAGATCTACGTAAGAACGCTGATTTTTGGCATAGGTCAATAAAGAATCTTCGAATCAACAGTGGGGTACTACAGCCTTCTCAACACATTTCCCCCCACATAATTTATGAATGAACGATTTTTCAGGATTCTTTAGTAAAAGGTTTTGGTCTTAGAAGATTCAACAGGTCTGTCAGATGTAAAATCTTATCTGAAGTTTTGTGTGAAAGTCCAGCGTGCATTGTCGGCAACTGTTTATGTCTTTTAATTGGGGCAGATGCACCACAGACCGAGTTCAAGAGACTCAGGGAAAATGACTGACACTTACTAACTCTCTGTAGACTTTGAGTCCGCCTATGATAAGCTGGAAATGGGGGTTTCTCAACACAACTAAGCCTTAATTTGTTTTACCTGAACTCTTGCTGGTTGATACCCATAACCTTGAAGCTGTAGACGTAGATGTTTTCATCTATTTAAACATCAATCATCCTTGCTGGTGCTACTTCAGACTCAGTGGAGAACTGAGGACCAAACTACCTCCAAAAAGAGATGTTGCCAAAATCCTCTGAAATGAATTGAGGAGTTTTCGAGAGTGGAAGGAACGGTACATACCGCAGATGGTGAAACAGAACAAGCTGTACCGTTAAAACGATGTCATGTCTTCAGTTCAGTAATTTCTTCTGAAAAAAAAAATGCAGAGAGGCAGACATGTATGAGACGTTTATGCCTCTGCTCTGTATCTCTTCACACTTATTTAGAACTCGCCTGAGGCATTTAAGAGCCTCTCACTACCAAGAACTAGCTGGAATATTAAAATTAAATATCAATGCTCCCTTGAGCTTCACAAAAGGCCTTGAGGTTCTGCATGACGATTACTTCTCGACTCGTATCTGGCACTAGAGGCCTATAGAAGGAGTAAGGGCTACACGATATAACCTAATTTAATCTCTGCTGCGTTTGATACATATGTATGCAAGTGCATAACATATATAAACACATATGTATATATATGTAACTTTCACTTAAACATATGTGTATATGTACATAAAAGACGAAACTCACCGAACTTGGTGCATAAAAGGCATCATAATGAATTAGAAGAATTATTAAGATGACAGAGAAAGTGATAATGTGATGAGCGTGCAGGGACAAAAACACAGACATACACAGACATACATAACTACACGTTAAATATATGTAAGCATGTGAGGGAAAATATACAGCAACCAGCCTAACTAAAATACGGCCATAATTAGTGACAAGTGTATTAAGGCTGTTTAGAGATTATATGTACATATGTAAATATATACATACAAACACACATATACACTTTTTGTGTGTGTTTTTTGTTTTTTGTTTTATTTGGTTGTCGTCTTTGTTTAGCCAAAGCAGTGACTTATGAGCGGCACAAGCCTTTAGCTTGAAGGATGTTTTTGGAGCAAACAAAGCGACAACTCATCATGCACGAGTGCGCACATATGACATTTACATATGTACGAGTATGTATGTACGTATATATATAAATACCAGCGTGTCATACTTATGTAAATTTATGTGTTTGAGTTTTTGGCTTTTTAAGCAACTTTTTCTTTCTAAATCTTTGCGCTTATTTCGCTGCACAGAATGCATACACACACGCACACATACACATATATATGTATATAAGTATTTACAAGTATGTGTTTAAATCTGTTTGCGAATTGAAGACGAGACTTTTATGTTCTTTTCATGAAAAGTATTATATATATATGTATAGTACTATGTACACTTGTCTTTGCCTTAATTTCACTGAGCTAATTTGGTTGAGTAGTTTACTTACATACATATTTACACACATCCATATATAATATAATAGTATGTCTACCTTTGAAGGTTTTGCTTTTGGCATTCATTTTAATTTCTAGTTACTACTAAAATGCGCTCAGTTCGCCTTCCGTATAAGTATAAGTATAAGTATAAGTATAAGTATAAGTATAAGTATAAGTATAAGTATAAGCATAAGTATAAGTATAAGCATAAGTATAAGTATAAGTATAAGTATAAGTATAAGTATAAGTATAAGTATAAGTATAAGTATAAGTATAAGTATAAGTATAAGTATAAGTATAAGTATAAGTATAAGTATAAGTAGTGATCGGAGAACCTGCTCGCTCCATGTTTAATCAAATTTCTTTTTTAAAAGCAGTCTGCGTTTTCTTACACATATACTTATACATATTTGGTATTATGCTTACTTAGCCTTG